ATTGTGATCATCCGATAGCGGAGCGATAGGTCTGGAATTCAGGCATGCTTCTATTTGTTAATAAAGTAGTGAACTCCTCTATGGACAAAAATTGAGCTCCAACTACTCTCGTCAAATGATATTTGACAGCTTTCACTCCCGCCTCCCATAAACCACCAAAATGTGGTGCTGAGAGTGAATGAGGGATATGAAATGCCAATCAACGCCATCACTGGCTAGATGAACAGCGAGGTCCGAATCTCGAGATAAGGCCTGAAATGCGCGATCTAACTCACGTTGTGCTCCACGAAAATTGGTTCCGTTATCGCTATATAATGAATGAGGAAATCCTCTTCAAGCTGTGAAGCGACGTAAAGCTTCCAAGAACCCAGAGGCGGTGTAATCACCCATCAATTTCAAATGAATAGCTCTTGTCGCTAGACATACAAAAACAGCAATATAGGATTTAAAAGTATGTTGACTTCAGCCTATCCTTGACAATATGTGAAAGGGACCTGCATAATCAACTCCTGTATGTTGAAATGAACAACTGGGTGTGACTCGGTGTGTGCAGGTAAATCTCCTATAAGTTGAGAAATTGGCTTTGAACGATGACGAGCGCAAACAATACATTTGTAAATTCGATTTAACTGCGGTACGTGCAGCTACCAGTAAGTTTGCCTTAAAACTCGCAACGTCAACTGAGTACCACCATGCAGAGTTTGAAGATGAAGTTGATCGATAATCAATTCGGAGAGATAATGCTTGGGAAGAATAATAGGATGTCTCTCTCTAAAGGAAAGATGTTCGTGCATTAGTTGACCATCGACACAAAAAACCCTTCCTTATCTAAGAATGGATTTAATTGAGTTAATTTACTACTTTTTGGTAGCGGGTTATTACTTTTAATAGCTACTATCTCCTTTTCAAAATAAACCTGTTGTATTTGTAACAACCAAAATTTACGTGCTTGATTTACTGCTGCTGTCAAAGTAAGTGTAGATTTGTTTAGATTCTCTAATAACTTACAGTTAACCCCTATATTTCCTTGTACCTTGTAAATGAACATTAAGCAGTATGCAGTAACTCGTAAGAGTTTCTGCCAGGAAGAAAATCGGTAGATTAAGTCCCACTCAGCACTTACCAAAAGTACCGCGGAAGATTTCTGCTCGACTCTGAGATCGGCTACTAATATGTGAAGCTGATCAGGCCAAAAAGATGAATGCTTACTTGACCATGGAGGTCCAGACCACCAAAATACATTCTTCTTAAGTCAGAAGTGGTAATACCTCTAGATGCGCAGTCCGCAGGGTTTTCACATGACTGTATATATTTCCATTTTATCTGAGATAGGTTAGTTTGAATCTCTGAAACCCTGTAGGCTACAAACGTTTTCCAGTTAAACGAATGTTGTTTAATCCATGACAGTGTAATCATAGAATCAGACCAACAGTATATAGGTACATCAGAAATGACTAAAGTGATTTTAACAAATAATATGAGTCATGTAAATAATACCGCTGCGCACAATTCAAGCCTGAGAATGCTTATTGTTCTAATGGGCGCTACTTTTGTCTTACTTATGAGTAACGTAGTGCTAAATTGTGCGGTCGAATCCAGGATGCGTATATATACTACAGCAGCGTAAGCTCTTGAAGAGGCGTCTGCAAAGCCAGTAATTCTACAGCTAGCTGTGATGTTGATTGGTTCATTCAACGTGGAATGGAAACGTATTTAAATTCGACTAAGCTCTGACAAAGCAATATCCAATATCCTTGGAGGTCATCCGTAGTATCCCAATCTAATTTTCTGAGTAGGTATAGTAGTATCCCAATTTAATTTTCTGAGCCATAATTCCTGCATGAGAATTTTAGCAGTCACTACTACTGGCGCGACCCAATCTAAGAGATTAAATATTCGTGCGATGAACGACAACAAGCAGCGCTTTGTATTATTGACTACGTTAGGTAGATTAATTTGAAAGTTGAAACAATCTGTCTTGGGATTCCAAGAGACACCCAAAACTCTAATAGTGGAGACGTCCGTGAACTGAACTGTATTCAAATCAAGTAATTCTGACTCGAGCATGTCGGTCAAGAGAGCATCGTAATTCGACGCCCACTTTTTTAATTGAAATCCACCACAACGCAACAGTGAGATCAATTGTTCGCGCATTGCTTGAATGGTGAGAATATCATCCGCACCGAATAGGATATCATCCACGTAAATGGAATTGCGTAATATTGAAGATGCTTAGCGGTAGTGACTTCCCTCATCAGCTATTAATTGTTGAAGAACTCTCATAGCGAGATAAGAAGCTGAGGCTGTGCCATAAGTGACAGTTAATAATGATAGTGATTGACAGGTTGATCCGGAGCAGTTTTCCACAGAATACGTTGATAATCTGTATCATCAGGATGAATCAATATCTGTCTAAACATCTTGGCAATGTCAGTAGTAAAGACTAAACGATGTGCTCTCCAACGCAAAATAATAGACAACAAGTCTGCTTATAATTTAGGACCGGTCATGAGATAATCGTTTACCGACGCTCGTTGGAAGTCGTATAGGATGCGTTAAAGACGACACGCAGTAGACGAACGGAGTAGACGAACTCTCCTTTAGAACAGGATGAGGTAAATAGTAAACAGAATTAGAGTCATGCGTTTGCGCGTTTATGGGGGCCATATGACCCAAGGATTCATACTCATATAGAAAATCTTGGTAAGCTGCAGTGAGCTTTGGTTCTCTAGCCAGACAGCATTCTAAATGCTTTGGACGCGACATGGAACTAGTCGCATAGAGTTGAGATTTGTTTGACAGGCAAACGTACGACATACCGACCAATGGGTAGATGTGTGTAAGTTGAGAGGAAGTGTTCCTCACAGATCTGGTTTTCTTCAGAGTGTGAAGAAGGAAACGATAATTCTTCTAATCCGATCTCCCAAAACTTCTGGAAAAGGCTATCTAGCGTAGGAGTAATAGAACATTGCAAGTTAGAGGTCAACGCCGAAGGCAAGTGATCCTCTCTACCGATTGAACCGAACAGAATCCAACCGAAAATACGAGGGTTGATCCAGAAATAAGGTTCCCATCAATTTTACAAATAGACAACATTGTTTATTCTCATAGAAATTTACATCGTTGGAAAAATGAAACTTTGCTCTATTTTTCTACATAATTGCANTACATAATCGCCATCTTTTTCTATGCATTTTTGTAGACGGTGCTCCAATTTCTGTATCCCAATGTCGTAGAACTCCGCCGCCAACCCGTTGAGGAAGCGTTTCACCTCTTCTTTGACTTCATCGTCGCTCCGTGCAACACTGAGAGAACTCAGGCGAGCCATCCAGAACCGCCGGCGAGGTCGACTGACAGCCGGTGTAACGCTGCTTCACGACAACGCACGACCTCACGTCTCCCGTCAAACCCAGGAACTTTTAACACACTTAGGGAGTGGACTGTCATGTTCCACCTACCTTACAGTCCAAACCTCGCGCCTAGTGATTTTCACTTGTTCCACAAGTTAAAGGAACACTTGGGTGGCCAACGATTCCGGAGTGACGATAAAGTCAAAGAAGAGGTAAAACGCTTCCTCAACGGGTTGGCGGCGGAGTTCTACGACATTGCGATACACAAATTGGAGCACCGTCTACAAAAATGCATAGAAAAAGATGGCGATTATGTAAAAAAATAGAGCAAAGTTTCATCTTTCCAACGATGTAAATTTCTATGAGAATAAACAATGTTGTCTATTTATAAAATTGATGGGAACCCTATTTCTGGATCAACCCTCGTAGTATGCTGAGCGACGAGGGAGCCGCCCGCTTTTTTACGTAGGCCTTCTAAGAGTATGGAACCGTAAATATCAGCGCCGATTAGTACATCGATGCGTTCGCAACTTAAGGGATCGGCATCAGCTAATGTCAAATCGGAAAATTGCGAGAGGTCCCTCTCCTCAATGGGAGTTATTGGATGGTAGGAAGTCAAAGAAGGTAAAACAAGGGCTGACACCACAACACCAGATTCCTTGTTATTGCATGAGTTTAAAGTGACCTTGGTGCGATAATACAGTGTACTATTTGGTCGTCCACCTAAACCCGTTACTTGAACATTGACTTTTTGTCTTTTAGCTCTTAAAGATTGAGTTGCTCTTTCAGTTATAAATGTAGCTTCCGATCCGGTATCGATAAGAGCTTTTAAGTATAATTTCCTACCGGACTCGCTACTGATTAAGACTCTTACAGTAGCAAGTAAAATTGCACGTGTAATAGGGGTTTGAACCTTGGAAACTGTTACCCTAAGAGACGCGCTAGGTCTCGAATCAGAGTCACTTACCGGGATCTCAGCAATATATGGAGTAGACCCTTGTGTACGAACCCGTGATTTATTAAAGCTGTCTGTATCAGCTGAGGCAGTATTTTCGTCATGTATCAGCGTATGATGCTTTCGTTGGCAGCGTCTACAACGACCATGAGAAGGCAACTTGATGGAAAATGTCCTTTATCTAGACAGTTATAATAACAAGGATGTTGTCTCAGGAACGACTTTCGCTTATCTAGTGATAATGATTTAAAATTAGAACAGAGATACAGCGGAGTCTCGCGACAACGTAAACATTGCGACTTGTATACAGAAGATATGAGCGACTTAGTGGTCCCAGAACGGCTAGCTTCATTGTTCAAAATATCTCCAGTATCTCTTATTGCTTCCAAAGCCACAATTCTAGCATTGAGAAAATTACTTAAGGTGAAAAGTGTTGGAGGTTCATATGAGCTACCCAGACTAATTTCCCTATCCTTCCTCGTTTTGGAACTACTAACTAACTTACGTGCCGTTATGGTAACCAAAAAATCTTCGATAGCAGATCGATCCATACTGTGTAACGCTGCGAAAGAATCGCTGATTGTATCGTACACTCTTCTTAATTCGGGAGCTGAATCGGACTTTATAGATGAAGTATCGAGAATATTATTAATGTGTGAGATTACAATAGCTCTCCGATTCTCGTAACGCATTTTTTACGCGTTCCAAGCTATCGCATAATTAGAGTCGGTAACTGTTATATTGTTAATAACCAATCGAGTATAACCAGTAAGACTAGTCTTTAAATAATGCAAACACTGAGCATTAGTGAGGTTATCGTTAGTTCCGACCAGAGACTCGAAGAGATCGCGAAAGCTAATCCATTCCGAATATAAACCCAAAAATTTTGATAATTCTATTCGAGGCAGTGGTATTGACATAACGTTACAATTACTAATTGCAGAAGAGTTAGAATTAATAAGCGAAGGAGTTTTAATGTCTTTGTTCAACTTATCTAGCATCTCATTAAGAAAATCCGATGCCTGATAATAGTCTTGTTCCGCAACGGAAAATTTATCATCCACAAAATAGAGTAGAGTTTGACGATCCTGTGTAGTCGAAGCGACCTTGATTTCGGCATTCAGTTGTTGACATCGTGTCCAGTATTCTCGGACAATGGTTAGACGATTACGTGCTGCGGCGGATGAATAATTCTTTTGGCCGATCTTCTTGAAGTTAATAATAGTGCGATTGATCAAGGTCATCACCGCTTCTTGTTCGGCCAATACACGCTCCATTTTCAATTATTTATTAATTAATTCGCTTTCAGGTTCCAATAACGTAAAGACAATTCGTTCAGTAATTACGAGATACTGAGTGGATTATCACAGTGGTGTGTTGATAAAGTGAGCTGAGTTTTTGCCCGTTGTCCTCTACTGCGTTGTCTTCCAACTTGCGTAGCAGTCCGCGTGATCGCAAATATAAAATATTCAAGATGCAGGATAGCTTCGTCTCTTTATTACATAGACGGCAAGGTCCTTACTGTATGCAGCGATAATTAATAGACTGCAAGTGGCTGCAATCCGATCTTGAAGGACCAATAAATGTGACGGCAATGGCAAGTAGCTCGATGTCGTTTATGCTCGCTGCTTGCAGTCTTACCGTGAACTCGTCTCGTGGTCTCGAAACACTTGTGGAATTCTTGAAATTAATTGAACTCAACAATTCCGGAGTTTGACACGCCTTTATTAATACCGTAAACCCACTAGTTATCGCAACCTGCAAGCGATAATAGAAGCACGACGTAGAATACGGAGCGGTGGCTTTTCCGAGTCTCAGTAATACACAGAAAGATGCGTTCTCTAGCACGGCTCTCGGGCCTCTCTCTTCTCTTCTAATGAGCGAACATATATATCGCGTAATATCAAGCGTCAACAAGTCAATACAAATAACCACTTTCCATAATACGTGTCCGATAAAACACTTATGCATTACCCGACCCGTTGATCCTAAATACTCCTTTTCGGCACGTGTTACAGACGCGACATGTACTTAAATATCACGCATTCTTAAATAAAGTTCTGAACAGAATTTCTTGCATCAGTCTGTATTAAAGTAAGTTTATATTATAGCATTATAAAGTCTATATTATAGCAGTCTATGTCATAGTAAGCGAATCTTGAATCCGACATTTCTGTTACAATTTTATGAAAGTTTCCACTTAGGTGACCGCTATTTCCACGTTTTACTCTACACGAGAAAATGTGTATTTTTTCTGCGAATACCATGTCAATATTTATTCCTTTTTCGCCTAGGAAACCACCGCCGTTGTCGATCAACTGTACGTCTTTGCAGCCTTTTGCACGATCAATCGCGATCAGCCGTTTACATACTCCGACGCCTCTTCTGAACGCTTGCAATTTATAGCATGAACTGCCGATGTGGAAGCTAAAGCCGTGTGACGTTAGACTGAAGTCTTTTGTCAACTATATCATTTGCACAGTTTCCTCGCCCGGTTCGCAGCCGAATTTCGACCCGAGAGAGACTAGCAAGTCCCTCAAGTCGTATCGTGTGCATATTACGATTCTGTTGCAAGATTATTGTGTGAAATTATACGACTAATATCTTACAGTAGGGTATACAAGAACTACAGGAAGATAGGGAACGGAACGTAGGATTAAACCGAGAATAATCACCGGGGGTCATACCGCAGCGGTCAAAAAACGAAGATCACATTGCAGTGGATTTTTTTACTGATCGAAAACCAATATGAACCTTTCATTTAGCTATTGAGAGACCTAACCCATATAATAAAAATAGGCTGTGATCCGTCTTATTCATAACATAATCCTATCAAAACACATTGGGGTACAAAACGACCCCAGGCGATTGGGGTACACGTTATAAAATTAGTCAAATGTAGTAAGAGTTCGCACTGTGAAAACAAAATAATAATAAGTTTGAATTATACAGGATACGTCAGAAAAATCCAGACAAATTTAAATCTGAATTGTCCGCCATATTTTAGTTCAGCACTAAGTTAGTATTTGTATCCGAGTAAGCTGAAACAATGTTCTAAACAAACATGACTTCAAAATAGCCGAGCAGTCAAGGTCCAACATGGAATATAACCGAAGTACGGCGGTTATTGAAAGTTTTTATACTGGATGTACGCCGGACGAAATAATTGAGATCTTCAAATATTCAAGATCAACAGCTTACGAAGTTTCCGCTAAATTTAAAGTCTCGGAGAAGTCCGGAATAGGACCGTAAACCTGTCGAGGAAGAACCATTCAAGGGAAAGGTCGGCAAGGACCTCGGAAGTTGTCCAAAAAGTCAAAGAGCTCATCGCAAAAGGCCCAGGGCAGTTTCTCAGGAAATTAGAGACAAGTTTGGATGTGAATGAGGCTACCATGTGCCGAATAGCCGAAGAGGACCTGCGCTATAAGTCATACGTCATAAAGGTACGACAGATACTGTCTGAGCTGCTAGAATAAAGAGAGCTCACTGCAACTTGCTTGTGTGTTCATTAAAAAACGAAGCTGCGGGATGCGTCAGATTTCTTTCTGACGAGAAAATGTTTACCGTCGACGCAGAAGTGAACCGCACGAACGACCGTCGGCTGGCATATGACCCCGAAAATGTTGTAGCTAGGACAAAGTTCACGTCTTAAGCATTGTCTCCAGAGAAGATGACGTCATGCCGCCACATTTTTTTAATAAGGGAGAAATCGTCACAAAAGAAGTGTATATACGCCTTTTGAAAACAGTAGTCAAACCATGGATGGACACTGTGGCCTCCGGGAGGCCGTACATCTTCCAACAGGACGGTGCACCAGCTCACACGAGTTATTTGGTCCAAAGCTAGGTGTCGGAGAATATCAACATGTTTTAGAGCAAAAAGATTTGGCATCCAAATAGTCCAGATTTAAATCCGTTGGACTATTACGTATGGAGCGTGATTGAAAGCATCTCTCCAAGCCGCTGCTGCAGCAATATTCTTCAATATAGACAAACCGGCATTGCAGAGAGTGTGCAATTGCTTCAGGCTTAGAATTGGGATAATAATTGCGGCAGACGGCGGTTACATTGAATAATTTTTGTCTATAACAGTTTAAAATGACGCGAAAAAAGGTTTTTATGTAATTTTGTACGTTTGACCAATAAATTTCTGCTAAATATATTGTAAATATTATAAATATATTGTAAATAAAATATATTGTATTGTTGTAAGTATAATGATGAGACGTGTCGTTTGCCATAAACAAATCACGATCTCAATTACGAAACGTCACTTTGCAGAAATCCAACTCTGCATTTTGGCGAATGCAATACCGAAATCAAGGTGGTCAGCGTCCTCACCCAAGTAATGCTGACACATCAAAACTATCCCTTCTGATTGACACATAGGAAAAAGATAAAAGAGATGTGAGATCGAACTCAGAGGCGACTATAGACTCTCAGTCCTCGGATATCGACACGCTGTCGGTCACACTAGAAATACTGTATCGGATGGAAAACATAATAAAGACAAGTTCATTTTTAAACGAGAGATAATTTATTGTCACCACCGCCTTCTGTTCTACCGCACTGCAACGGGCACCTCATACTACTCGCATTGACTCGACTCATGCAACAAATTGGTGGCATCGAATGGGATTCGCCCTCCAACAACAATCTACAACAGCACAAGGAGAAGGCATCTGTGAAAAAGCAATCGCAAGCAGCAGACTGGTGAGCAACAAATCTTGGGGCAATCAAAAAAGAAGAAAACTACGTGGTAGCCCGGAAAAGACGGACGTCGGAGCTATGATCATCGACACGGGCCAATCACGATAGCAGAGGAAGCAACGAAGCAGCAAAAGCAGCAGAAACGACCTATTTCAACGCAGCGACAAGCGCCAGGCAACTTAATGCCGGACAATCAAAGTACCGATAACGAACCGTGCGAGCACGCAATAGCGCGACACGTCAACATGCGTCCAATCGTATTAATGTAAGTCCTAATCTAACACACACAAATGTATACACATACTTACACCAGTGAAAAACCAAACCGTCCGCTTGAATGTCCAAAGGCAGTTATATACCGCGTATATAAACTTGCAAAAACGGCTTGCAAAAACAGATCCTCGCTATTTAGTGAGTCTGCGATAAATATACTAAGACAGTCAGCCGAACTAGTAAACCAAAATCTCGATAGAAATAAATAACACCGCGCAAAGTATACGAAAAGGATTACAAAACGCATTAACCGTACTTGATAGTTTAAATTAAGAACAACCCCCGATACACATCGTAACTAAACGCGAATTTCCGTTTAATAAAATCGATAACAGTATATTACCAGCTGTAATTTCACACGTCAGGAGACAAAGAAACTTGCCGAGTAATAGTACCATTACTGACATGTCAGGTAGAGGAGAATTTTCTTTAACTTCGCACGACGAGAGCGTTTTCGATCCAAACAGATTACTTGATAACTTAAATATGGACAGGCGTACAGAACAAGATGTACCGTATATTGACGATTCCGCGATAAACGAGGAAATCAATAGATTACGAACCACCGTCGCGTATCATACGAACGTTAGCATAGATATGAACCGTATCCCGCCGGTCGGTGGACTTTTGCCCAACCCCGGCTGGTGAGGTGGTCGTTCGGTGTAACGGTTGACCGTGCTCGGTAGCGTTCGGTGATCCCAGCGTAACTCGCCGGATTTCCAGACGTTCTTTTTCTGTGCGAGCGAGTATATGAGTGATTGAGTGAGCAGAGGCGTGCAATTTAATAATCACCGTTTATTAACTTATTTTCCGCGTTGCTCGGTACAGTGGAATATCAGCGGGCCGTGCTTTAATCTTATCTTTAGGCTATAAACATCGTTGACTGGTTTAGATACGGAATCTTGTGTTTATGCCGCAGTGTTACATTCTGACAATATTAGTCGGCGTTCGGCGTAACGAGTTTCAAGGAACATAAGTTTCGCAGACGCTTGGTGGCGCTCGCGGTGACAGCGGAGAGCGGGCGCGGTGTTATGCTTGCGGCTCTGGCGTGTTTAACAACGGGTTCGCGTTGTCGCTTCGGGACTTAAAAATTAGTACGTTTCGGATCGCTATGCATACGACGGGATGCATTCACGGATCGCGGTTTACGGTGCTCGGTAGTTGCTGCACGCGGAGTGCTCGCGGCGGTCGAGCCCCGGAGGGGAGGACACGCAGTATCGTATCCCGATGTGTATCGGTGGACTCGGCCGGGCGGGCCTGGCCGACGTGCAGCTTGTGGCGGTACGGCGGAGGTT